CAAACCGTCAGCAGCGTTTTGTGTGCTGGTGACATTGCAAGTTTATTCTTCCAAGAACAACTAGCAAGAACGTTATCCCCAAGAACACAAGTCCATTCTTCTCATTCTTGGTTTTGAGAAACACCCCTGCTTTCTGCCCTCCGAGTTGTGCGTGCATCTCGGTGGTGATGTTGCACAGAAACCCGTCAATAGAAAGAAACTCAAGCCGCTACTGCCTGTGATGCATGCACTCATGGGGAGAATTGCATAAAGCTACATTCTGTATGTATGTTGTTATGTATAAACACTGAATGTGCAATGGTGCAGTAGTGAAAAGAGTAAAGTAACGTAACGTTTAACATAACTAGTATATTTTAATTCCCAGTAATAACTGAACCTTTACCTTTTTTTAAGGATAAGTAACTAGTAACTAATACAATTTCTGAGGAACTTGCACAACACTGGACCCCACAGAGGCTAAATACCTGGGATTCCCTGCCAGCCCATCGAAGAGGCCTCTTGGATGAGAGGCTAATGTATTTGAGTGTCTTCAACCAAGTCCAGTTGCCCTTGATTTTAACCCACTTTGGATTATTTTAAACAATATATGTAATGTAAAGTATGAAATATAAATACATTTTAAAAAATCTTATAGATAATATGTCATGCTTTTGCTCTACCAGCACAAAGATGAGCACTGTAGGATTTTGTACAGCTGCTCAACCAACTCCAGTCACTGTGAGTATCGAGCACAATAATAAACAGCAGAATCTTCAGTTTTCAGACTGTTCATCTGCAGATACACCTGCTGTCTGCTGTTGTCTCTGGAGATGGAAAACCGGCCTTGGACTGACTGAGAGTAGTATTTGCTGCCACCACTACCACTATCAATCCAGGCAATCCACTCTAGTCCTTTTCCAGGAGCCTGTCTGATCCAGCTCATAGCATAGCTGCTGAATGTGAATCCAGAGGTTGTACAGGTCAATCTGTGAGATTCTCCAGGCCTTTTAACCACTGGTTCAGATTCTGTCAGAGTCTGACCATCAACACCTGTCAAGAGGACAAAAAATATCAAGTGAAATAACCTGGTGAGACAAATAAAAAGATATTTTGGATTAAGACCTATTCACCTGCCCAGCAGACAGTTAAAAGCAGCAGTCCTGTCCTATAGTCCATCATGTTAAACTGTGTGTCCACTGTTCTCTGTCATCCTCTCTGCAGTCAGATAAGTAGAGGTGGAAGACATCTGAGTTTTGCATTGACTCCTCCTCACAGGGAGGAGAGAGCTGGAAAAGATTTGGCTCTCAGTTAATGTCTACCGAAACTGGGGCATGAACATGCATCTTCAAAAAAGTCTGGGCATTCATCAAACTTTAACATTGGGTTTCAAATCCAAATAAATTTCTTGTAAAAATATGAATTGTCACATACATCCTAGTGGCCCTGCGATGGACTGGCGACCTGTCCAGGGTGTACCCCGCCTTTCGCCTGATGTCAGCTGGGATAGGCTCCAGCCCCCCGCGACACTGTACGCAGGATAAGCGGTTGACGATGGATGGATGGATGGACATACATCCTACAGAAAATGTGTTTTCTCCCAAACCAGGACTTTTGTTTTTGCCCACATTCATCATGAGCTGAACTCAAAGATCTGACTTTCTCTATGTAACAAAAGGCCTATTTCTCTCCGATATTGTTCAAAAATCTGTCACAATCTGTGTTAGTGAGCACTTCTTTGGATGTGGAGGTCCTGGGCTGGTTACACATGGTCTGTGATTGTGAGGCCGATTGGATGTACTGCCAAATTCTCTGAAATGCCTTTGGAGATGGCTTATGGTAGAGAAATTAACATTCAATTCACGGGCAACAGCTCTGGTGGATATTCCTACAGTCAGCATGCCAATTGCACGCTCCCTCAAAACTTGCAACATTTGTGGCATTGTGCTGTGTGATGGAACTGCACATTTTCTGCACCATTTATTGTGGCCAGCCTAAGGCACACCTTTGCAACCATTTATCGATCTATCTATCTAATTATTTCGGCAGTTCGGCATATTTGATGAAATTGATATATTTGCATTATTCTTGGGCTGTATCCACATAGAGACAAATTGAAGCCTAAGAATACGCTTTGGATAAAAGCATCAGAACAAAATACTCAACAGACTTTCACAAAAGAGACAGGTGTTTGTTTCCTGTGTGAATGAAATAGTCAATCTTGATTATTTTTTACTTAACTTAACTTACATAATTTATGTAACTAACATTCTCTTTTTAACCCAAACCATGATCTTTCCGTAAACCTAACCAAACTACAACAGTTTCACAATATTAACCACATGTTTCATTTTGAAAGTCTAACCAGACATTACGCTATTGCTATGGGTCTTGACCAGTGTCCATATGTGAAGAGTGTGTTGTAATTTTCACTCTTATATTATCATTCATTTTAGATTCCACATAATTTACAGACATTATTGTGTCTTCATTTCAGTACTTGGGAATTCAGTACTTAAGTAGTTTTTTTTTTCTTTCACTTGAGTATTTTTAGTTGTTGCAACCTTTTACGTTCACTTTGCTACATTTCACTTTATGAGAGGTGCTGAAGTTAACATATCTTTATGTGTGTATCTTTATATCTGATATATTTATGAGATATAGAATACAAAACAAATTATTATTAATTGTATAGTGTAAATAGTGTGTTAATGTTAATACTTATACAGTACTGCATTTGTTCTTTAATATTCCTTTGTGTTGATATATCGACCAAAATTTCCCCTACGGGGGGATTAATGAAGTTATATCTTATATAAAAATGTTATATATAAAACAATATAATAAAGTAAATCATATTAATGCTATAATACACTCACCTAAAGGATTATTAGGAACACCTGTTAAATTTCTCATTAATGCAATTATCTAATCAACCAATCACATGGCAGTTGCTTCAATGCATTTAGGGGTGTGGTCCTGGTCAAGACAATCTCCTGAACTCCAAACTGAATGTCAGAATGGGAAAGAAAGGTGATTTAAGCAATTTTGAGCGTGGCATGGTTGTTGGTGCCAGACGGGCCGGTCTGAGTATTTCACAATCTGCTCAGTTACTGGGATTTTCACGCACAACCATTTCTAGGGTTTACAAAGAATGGTGTGAAAAGGGAAAAACATCCAGTATGCCGCAGTCCTGTGGGCGAAAATGCCTTGTTGATGCTAGAGGTCAGAGGAGAATGGGCCGACTGATTGAAGCTGATAGAAGAGCAACTTTGACTGAAATAACCACTCGTTACAACCGAGGTATGCAGCAAAGCATTTGTGAAGCCACAACACGCACAACCTTGAGGCAGATGGGCTACAACAGCAGAAGACCCCACCGGGTACCATCTCCACTACAAATAGGAAAAAGAGGCTACAATTTGCAAGAGCTCACCAAAATTGGACAGTTGAAGACTGGAAAAATGTTGCCTGGTCTGATGAGTCTTGATTTCTGTTGAGACATTCAGATGGTAGAGTCAGAATTTGGCGTAAACAGAATGAGAACATGGATCCATCATGCCTTGTTACCACTGTGCAGGCTGGTGGTGGTGGTGTAATGGTGTGGGGGATGTTTTCTTGGCACACTTTAGGCCCCTTAGTGCCAATTGGGCATCGTTTAAATGCCACGGCCTACCTGAGCATTGTTTCTGACCATGTCCATCCCTTTATGGCCACCATGTACCCATCCTCTGATGGCTACTTCCAGCAGGATAATGCACCATGTCACAAAGCTCAAATCATTTCAAATTAGTTTCTTGAACATGACAATGAGTTCACTGTACTAAAATGGTCCCCCCAGTCACCAGATCTCAACCCAATAGAGCATCTTTGGGATGTGGTGGAACGGGAGCTTCGTGCCCTGGATGTGCATCCCACAAATCTCCATCAACTGCAAGATGTTATCCTATCAATATGGGCCAACATTTCTAAAGAATGCTTTCAGCACCTTGTTGAATCAATGCCACGTAGAATTAAGGCAGTTCTGAAGGCGAAAGGGGGTCAAACAGTATTAGTATGGTGTTCCTAATAATCCTTTAGGTGAGTGTAAATTCTAACAGCCCAAAGATGAGTATGGGTTTGTTGTTTTAGTCAACAAAAACAATGAAAAAACTTGCTTTAAAATGAACATTTTATAAAATCTAAAGTCTGTTTCCCTCTTTAACAGTGAGTAGCTGTTGAAGTCATTAGTGGTCTGAGGGCTCCTCCTCTGGTGGCTTCATGTTACAAGTGTTCAGGCACTGAGGGGTTTTTGTTCAGGTCTACTGATGGTTTGTGTTATTGTGGATCTCTGGCACAATAATACACAGCAGTGTCTTCAGGCTGCACATTCTGTCCGTTTAGAGTCACTGTATTGCTGGAAGAGTCTAAGTTGATACTGAACTTGTTCTTTAGGGAATCTTTGTAGTATGTGCTGTGTCCAATATGACCGCTTCTAATCAACTCCAGTCCTTTCCCTGCAGGCTGTCTGATCCAGGATTTGCGATAGCTGCTAAGAGAATAAGAGAGTAATGTCAACGTTACATGGTGAAAATAACATAAGTTATCATTAACGTCATTTTTACCGTACTGTATCAGCAGGGGATTGTACTATTTAACTTAACTAATATTAGTGAGGTGGATCAATGAACGCAGGATAGTGTGATACTGTGTGTGTGTGGGTGTGCCCTAGTAGAAGTAGCAGTTCCTGGATGCTTGCTCGGGTAATTAAGCTGATACAGTACATGGCCTACGTTTGACAATGCTTTTGGAAAATAAGTGTGTTTGAGAAGATCACTCACAATCACAAGAAGAAACAGCAGCTCCTTCAGTCTTCCAGCTGTTTATCTTGAAATCTATTTGAGATGGTGAACTACAACTAAATGAACACATCAAGCTGCAGTCTAAAGAATATAAAACTCTAGTTCAGTCCAGGGTTCAAGTGTCAGTCAGATAAGATCAATGAGATCACCAGACATAAGAGGAGAGAGACACTTGACACTGACTGCCCTCTAGTGTTTTAATAAAAAGGAACATTATTTTCCACTCCCATATTGTGACAGACTTAAGAAGCCAAATAATTTATACATTAATGTGGCTGAAATGATTTCAACAGATTGTTTTCTGATGACATGATCATAACAGTAACATTTGTGTTTATGTGTTTGTTGTTGTTGGATAATTGATGATCTTTCCCAGGGTTAGTTTTCATGATTTCATTAATAACAACAAATAAAGTTTAAATAAAAACAGAAGTCTTCTCAGGATATATCAGCACAGTAAAGATGAGTCTTGTAGGATTTTGTACAGCTGCTCCACCAACTCCAGTCACTGTGAGTGTCGAGCACAATAATAAACAGCAGAATCTTCAGTCTTCAGACTGTTCATCTGCAGATACAGCTGCTCTTTGCTGTTGTCTCTGGAGACGGTAAACCGGCCTTGGACTGACTGAGAGTAGAATTTGCCGCTGCTACCAGCTTCAGTAGCAATCCACTCCAGTCCTTTTCCAGGAGCCTGTCTGATCCAGGCCATCCAGTAGCTGCTGAATGACAATCCAGAGGTTGTACAGGTCAATTTGTGGGATTCTCCAGGCCTCTTAACCGCTGGTTCAGATTCTGTCAGAGTCTGACCATCAACACCTGTCAAAACAAACAAGAACATAGTCACTTGTTGTAAGTTGGCACATTTATTAGGACTTTATTAAGACCTGTGAATATCTTCACCTGCCCAACAGACAGTTAAAAGCAGCAGTCCTGTCCTATAGTCCATCATGTTAAACTGTGTGTCCACTGTTCTCTGTCATCCTCTCTGCAGTCAGATAAGTAGAGGTGGAAGACATCTGAGTTTTGCATTGACTCCTCCTCACAGGGAGGAGAGAAATAGAATAGGCCATCATATCTCCTTAATACACCATATGTTTGATTCTGACAAACAAACATTTAAACTAATAACTAAAACTTTTCTGAACATCATTATGTTATTGGCTGAAGACTACTTATCCAGTCACTAATGCAATTATAATTTGTGTTTATAATGTGTTTTTTAAAATAATGTAAAGGAAGAAAAGTGACTATAGATAGATCACAAGCTTTTAATACTACAGTAACACACAGATGCTTATATGGCCCGAGCACAGCCACATCCGGGCTCCGCAGACTGTAACATTAGGTGCGTTCAAGATGACTGCGGCTGACTTTCGCCGACTTGATAGTCTATCATGAGCTGCAGGCGACTGCAGGGGCGGGGTATAGAAACAGCCAAGTCGGAAACATTCTAACTGTGTGAGCAGCACCAACTTTGTGCAGCCAGAGAAAAGCAACTGCCTGCTTAAAACACACCTCTTCACTGAGGCCTATGGGCTTTAATCTCCCCTGGCCTTTTCCATCAGCGCTGCATATCACCACTTCAAACACACCTATCTTCCTGCTTATGCAATACAATTAAGCACTGAAACGTTATAAGACACAAAGTCACAGCATCCATGGTTCTAATTACGTGGGGAATTGGGGGTGGTTAAGGCTCGGACCCCCCCCCCCCCAAAAGTGGCAAAAACAACAGTTCAGGGTGTCATTCTTACCTGTAATTGTAAATATTACAATATATTACTCATTTTCATGCCTTATATTTAAGAATCTTGAAATATGATTTCATGTTAGCTAGCTTAGAGCCCACCCTATCATTTCATTATCACTATGTAATTTAAAATTTTATGTAATTGTCAGCTAACACTGGTGCTTAGGCATGAGCAGTGAAATTGGGGATTATTGTAGATGCACATTTTTACATCAATATAGAGTTTATTATTTTATATTATTAAGTATTTTTTTAGTCCTGTAGTATTAAACATGGCATTTGTTTTAACTCTGGAATTCCCAAAAATTCCCAATTCCCCAACAACAGTGTCTGACTACTGCTTTATTGGAAGCAGATTACATCATTCACAGTCAACATGAGCAAGAGGAAAGGAGATATTTGCAAAAAAGAATAGGTGGGAAGAGTCTCATAAGACAATGAGATGTTGAAGCTAGCTGATTGGCACAGGTGTTTAGTACAGGCAAGGGATATTATATTTTTACTGAAAGTATAGATTCTGTTGGGCCCCAGCTGTTGGGATCTATGTTAACTTTTAAGGACACCGAGACCATTTTACACGCCTTCATCTCATCACGCCTGGATTATTGCAACAGCCTTTTCACCTGTTTAACCCAAAAATCTATTGATCGACTCCAGACTGTCCAGAACTCAGCTGCCAGGCTTTTAACCAGAACAAAGAAATATGACCACATTACTCCTATTTTAGCTTCATTACACTGGCTCCCAGTATGTTTTAGAATTGACTTTAAAATTCTATTGATCACTTTTAAAGCTCTTCATGGCCTCTCGCCTTGTTATATTTCTGACCTTTTAGTCCCATACACACCAGCACGTACCTTGAGATCCTCGGGCAGAGGTCTGTTGTCTGTTCTGAGTCTCGACTGAAAACTAAAGGGGACAGAGCGTTTGCTGTCAGGGCCCCGAGGCTCTGGAACAGCCTGCCCGAGGAAATCAGGTCGAATCAGAAGTCCCTTCTTAAAACATACTTTTATAGGAGAGCTTTTCCCAATCTTATTTGACTTTATTTTATCCTTTTTATTTTATTGTATTTTACTAATTTTATATAAATTTTTCATGCTCTTAACTTGTTTTTTTGTATTATTCTTTACACTTGTTAAAACACTGTTTGTTGTTTGTTTTTGAAAAGTGCTCTACAAATAAGGATTATTATTATTATTATTATTATCAAGCCTGATTTACTCATATTCACTCTCAGCAGGATGCTTCTCTCATCTGCTGTGGATAGTGACAGTGGCTGTTCCTCTGGAGCTGGAGGTGGAGTAGACTTTGCAGCTGACTCTTTGTTGAGGCGATCAAAGTCTGCATAAGAGGTGTTAATTTCATCTGGTAATTTGGCCGCACACACGGTGGAGGCAACCCTGCTTTTATGAGGTTTTTGATCGCCTGGCACTTATCTTTGCTGTTATTGGTGCTGAGTCTCAGAGTGTTGTTTGCTTCTTTATCACCAGACCGAAAGCTTTTTTGGCTTTGTAAAGAGCCTTCACTTCTCCATTCACCCAGGCTTTCTGGTTGGGGAATGATTTTACCGTCTTTGTGATCACCACATCATCAACACATTTGCTGATGATGTAAATCCTGGAGGTGGAGAAAAAACAAATGAAAAAACAAAAATGTTGCGAAAATGAAGGGAGCTACAAATCACTGCGTCTACAACCTCCCAGCCTCCCATTAACACTGCCATCACATGCAAAGCACCCACATGACCCCAGCCACCCACTAAATTCATGTTTCACTCTACTCCATCTTTATGCAGACACAGATCTGTAAAAAAGCATGCAACATCTTTTCTAGACATTTGTCTGCAATGATAAAAAATAATTATTTGATTGCTCAAATATTATACTTTCTTCAAAGATGAAAACCTTTCTATATAAATTATTTATCTCCATCTTAAGTTAAACTTAAATATGCTGCTCATTCCACTTCTCCTCCATTTTATAGATCCCTGCTGTCTTCTCTCAGAAATGGTTTTAATGAGACTATAGTTTGTGATGGAAAGAGTGAGATTTACTTAGTTGGTTTGTATTTTAGAGCAAGATTAATCTTTTTTATCATTATTCATGAACTTGTGAAACAGAACTATACATTTTAATTACTTGACCTGAGGACAATAATCCTGTGAGACTATCTATTCAGCACCGTGCAGATGAGTAATCCCAGAAAATGTTTCTTACTGCATGATTAGTTGTTCATCCATCTTTAATCACAGTCTCACAAGCACACAAGACACAGCAGCTCCTTCAAGCTTCCTGCTGTTCATCTCAAGATCTATTTCCTGTCTGCTGAGATGAACTGACACTCACTGCTGATGGTAAACACCTTACAGTCAAACTTTACAATGTGCTGAATCAAGTTAACGCATGACTTTTGTTTAGAGTAAAAAAGTATCAACTATCACAGTATCCAGTGTACATGAGCAGCAGGAGTGTTAAACTTTAGTTCAGTCCAGTGTCAGTCAGTTGAGATCAATGAGAACACCAGATCTGAGTGTCTCCTTTTAGTAACAGAGGAGAGAGAAACTTGACACTGACTGCCCTCGTGTGATTTTATGTCAGAAACTGACACATTATTTTTCACACTTATTTTATGACTTGTTTTAGATTCCTTATGATTTACAGACATTCTTGTGTCTTAGTTAGTAGAAATGCATAGTATAAGCAAGAGTTTAATTTCAACAACCAGATTGTTGTGCTGCCCTTTTAAGAACAACTGATCTTTGGACTTTGTACAATGCATAATTAAAAAAAAATAAAAAATTGGTAATGTAAACTATGGTATGTTGTTGCTCTGTCTTTGGACCTTTTATGAACAGTGATCTTTATTGTGTTTAATGTTGGTTAATCAAATTTCTCAAAAACAGATTTTACTAATCTGTATGATGAATTAGTTAAAAATAGTTCACAACAGGCCATGATATACACTTATTATATCACAGTTAAGGGGTGCAGTTTGCCATGACGCGAAGCGGAGATAATAATGATCATAAAAGATATGCAATGTAAATACAGAATATCAATATCAATATAAGAATAAACATTAACTATGTATTGTGAATATGATGACAAATGCTTCATGCTTGGGGGTCTAACACTGTGAAACATAAGTACTGTAGGTTTTTGTAAAGCTGCTCATCCAACTCCAGTCACTGTGACTCTCGAGCACAATAATAAACAGCAGAATCTTCAGTCTTCAGACTGTTCATCTGCAGATACACCTGCTGTCTGCTGTTGTCTCTGGAGATGGTAAACCGGCCTTGAACTGACTGAGAGTAGTACTTGCCGCTACTATCCCCGCTGATAGTTGTAACCCACTCGAGCCCCTTTCCAGCTGCCTGTCTGATCCAAGCGTTCCAGTGATGGCTACTAAACCCTGAATATGTACAGGTCAGTCTGTGGGATTCTCCAGGCCTTTTAACCACTGGTTCAGACTCTGTCAGTGTTTGAGCCTCAGTACCTGCAGATATTTAAACACCTCATTAGTTAATTTAGTTATGTATCATATTATCAGTTTCCAATAAAGAGCTTCATTGTTCTTACCTGACCAGTTAATAGACAGGATGAGAAAAACAACCAAATAATCAGGTCTGATCATTTTAAAAGCCCGTTGTCTCTGTCCAGTCTACACTGTAAATGTCAGTGATTCAGTCTCTGTACAACACATATGTAGAGATGGAAGAGATCAGAGTTTTGCATTGACTCCTCCTCACAGAGAAACACACCACATCTATGGAAAACAGTGTTTTATATCATTGTTTAATATCGTTATAATTATGAAATTTTTAATTATGAAGATTCTTCTCAAATTATTCATTAGTAACATTATTCATACACAAATTAGATGTTTTTATTGATGTTGTACAGCAAAATTTAGTGGGCCATCCATAAACTGGATATACTATGCAGAAATGCAAAATATGTTCCTTACACCTGCTGTTAAAAATCAATAATGGGAACAATATTAAACATTATTGTTGTAAAAAATAAAAAACAGATGTTAAATGTAACAATGAGGAAGTCAGAAACCACAACAGCAGCTGTTGCTTTCATAGTGCGCATGTGTGTTTGTTGAGTCACTGTCATACTCTCCTTAGTGTCATCTGACTTCATATCATAACTTCTATACTGCCACCTGTAGGTCTTTGCAAACAAATGTTCTGAGGAGTTT